TTTGTAATTATTACAAATTGTCCTGTGATACAGGTTAATGTAAATAACCTTTTGACTTTCTCATAAATGTTTATAGAAAAATAAAAATTTCTAATCAATACTAAACTACTTTTTGTCGTTGTATTTCAAATGAAATTGAATCAATTCTTTCGGTCTAAGCAACGTCCTAAAATAGAAAACTAAAAGAGCGCCGCCGTTTTCTGAGCGATATGAATTTGAGAATATGAACTCGATTTAAATCTTTAAATCTCAAGTAATGCCGACAGAAAATCTGTTGTATCAGGCATGAGCCAAAATTTATCCATAGTTCTCTCTTGGTCTATAAAATAGCAGTTGCATCTCACGCGAAGCAGTTCAGTAAACAAGAAGTGCTCATGAAATTCTTGATCCATTATTCCTCAGCAAAACTGAAATACACGTAACTGATATCCCTAAGGACCTAGGGGTTATACCAAACAGAAACCTATTCTGGAAAGAATATATTCACCACTTTTATAAAAATTTCGTGAAATTATTGACATGATACAATGTCAAAAACTTTGTTTTAGGACACTCGATCAAATATATGACTCCTTACACAGCCTACTCTCTAAAAAAATAAGGGTACAGACAGAGCCTTTTAAGGGTTCTTTCCTTGGGTCTCACGCCGATCCCTCAAAAAGGTTCTGCACGGAACCTTCATATTTCTCCGGAAAAAAGGTTCCTTCTGCGAAATAAGGTTCAGTATTAAGTATTCATAAATATATACAGTACATTTGACAGAGTGTAAACGTTAAGCTGCCAGCTAGTTGTTTTATCTACTCATAACAGGTAAGGTTTATGTATGACGTTGGAAACAAATGAAAATAATATTTTACATAAGAGTCAGGGAAGATTTGAATTTTTGATAAATGATAAGTGCGTCAGAATAAGATACCCGTTCTTTCTTTAGTAAAGAATGATGGACTAAGCTCATGATTTCATGTACCGTCCGAATTACAAAGAGCTTTAGATCGACAAGTCCTCGTCAGACAAAATCAGAAAATCCTCATTAGTTTACCTTCGCAATAGTCGCTTTAATCAATTGATATGTGAAATAAGTGCAGAATTGTATATTCTGCAAGTTCCCAGAAAGGAAAATTTTTTTCCTTGAGTACGCGGCACAAAAAACCAGTTAGTTCGATCTAAAGCGAAGGTAAACGGGAATTTTCGAAATTTTCTCTTTCAGTGGAATCTTAGCTCAGCTACAATCAATCATTTCTCAAAGTTTATTAGTTGGTTGTCGAGACAATTTTTTTACCTTTGCTGCTTAGACAGAAACGTGTTTTACGATTTTATGTTATCGTAGCGATCAGCCAAAATCGCTTTTTTTTCATCTAATGAAGTATAAAATAAGGTATCGAGACGTGAAAAGTTTTTTGTAATTGAGTTCTCCACACAATCAATTTAAATGTGCCAGCTAAATGTGGCGACAGATCATAATTTTCATAACAGTCAAATAGTGAAACTTATTCCTAATCCCATCAAGAATCCACAGCTATCACTAAAACAATACATCCAAGACCGGAATTTTTTCTTGTCATCAAATGTATATCAGCAATTAACTCAGTTACTGAAAAACAAAGCGCAGAAAGAAAGTTCAATAATAGCCAAGACAGCAAACATATCAATTAAAAGTTCATTCTCTTCATTTTTCTCTAGTTTCTCATCCAAGGCGAATAATATGCAGTGAAACCATCTGGTATTTAAGATGGCATTAAAATTTTCTTTTCATGAACGTCACATACGTTTGAAGCGTAGAGTGTTGTTTACACAACCAATCGAGCTCATGGCCAAAACAAGAAAATCACAAGTTTGAGACGTTCAGGTCGAGACAATTTGTAACCTAATATTTACTCCACGTGAGCTAATAGCCGAGCTATAGACCAAGAGAGAACTTTGGATAAATTTTGGCTCATGCCTGATACAACAGATTTTCTGTCGGCATTACTTGAGATTTAAAGATTTAAATCGAGTTCATGTTCTCAAATTCATATCGCTCAGAAAACGGCGGCGCTCTTTTAGTTTTCTATTTTAGGACGTTGCTTAGACAGAAAGAATTGATTCAATTTCATTTTACAGCACTGCTTGATTTTATCTCCAATTTGAACAAACATATTATTTGAATAAATCTTAAGTTTCTTCGCATAAAAAATACATGACACGATGTCTAAAAGATTAAGCGTTCAAAAAACATTCAATACACGATCGAAGAGAAGAAGATGTGAGGCCGGTGATGTACCTTTGGTCAGTAATTCAGAACCACCTCAAAACACTCTAGAAAATGATCGTCAAAATCAACTTCTTAGAGAAGCCTTATCATTATTAGGCGTAAATTCACCACCAAACGCTTCAAATACCACACTCTTGGATTTTTTCGAAGCTAATAATAGCAAAGTAGCAACTAGTAAATTACAGAATGATAGTCTTGAACTGGTTAACAGAAATGGCAGTACATAATCACAATTAGCAATATCATCTAATCCTCCAATCTTTTCGACACTTGCAGTATCACCCGCAATTATCACAGACGATGTTTTGACACCACTATCGATTTCTCCACCAACTCCGTCTGCAAATGAAAGTTTCAGTAATAAACTCAATAGCCACCAACTAATTTCACAGTAATACCATCAGCCACTACAGATGAATTAGCTAAAGAAGAACTAAGAAAAGCCTTAAGTAAGTTAACAACAGCAGCGACATTTTGCCAGTCTCACCTCCATCAGCTTCAACTGCCTTATTACATACACCAATCTCAGTCAATGAGATAAACCACAGGTCTGTTTATATTGCGCCCGCACTAAAAGAAAGGATTTTAAGCGGAAAGTACGTTAACTTGGCGAGTTTGTTAGTACCATGGGACGGTGGTAAATGTTTGGATTTGGACGGTGATGGCAGCTCAGTAACACTCGTTAAAACGCAACATGATCTACGTTTGAAACGTAATCTATCATTGACTGAGTTTCTAAAGGCGTTTCAAACGTGATGATGTTTTGTGGTAAATTTCCAAGTAGATTAAAGGCGTTTACTCAGTATCAGTCCATGATTGTCGATATGACTGTCAAATTCGAGGATAATTGTTTCTATCAGTATCTGCGCGTTTGCTCCGACGTAGCTGGCTTGTTAGAAGAGGGAATTTTGGTTAATTGGGCCGTCAAAGATATTGATCTGTACACCAACATTGTCTCAGGTAGAAAAACGAAATCCTGCCCGAATTGTGATTCGGTAGATCACAGTTTATATTCATGCCCGAATTTGTCTGAATCCGCCACATTATCGAGTTCCTTATTAGCAACATCATCGGTGGTTTTTTATGGTGGTGGTACTGCTACTACAGCTAGTTCATCGCCCTTCGCTCGTCAAACACAACGAGCAAAAGCTGTTATTGACGGAGTGGAGCTTGAGATATGTGAAAATTGGAATACTAATAAATGTCATAGGAGTGACTGTAAACATCATCACGTATGTCTAAAATGCTATACTAAGTTTCACAGAGGCGGAAAGAATGGAACTGATTGTCCTCGTGTGATTAGAAATAAATGATCTATATTATAATTTTATTTGGATTTGAATTTTCGGGTTATAATAAGAATTTTCATTTATTTGCCACTGTCAGAGTCACGTATGGATGCTACGACACCGGTGAATGTAGAACAATTAAAGAAAGAGCTTTTGCACCATCCTAAAAAAGATCTAGTTAAATTTCTATTAGATGGGTTTTCCTACGGCTTTGACATTGGTCTTTTACAATTATCTACCACTGCTCTACACTGCAAGAACAACAGTTCAGCTCGAGATGCTCCGGAGGTGGTGGATAAACTTATCCAAGATGATGTCGTGAAAGGATTTTTGTTAGGACTATTTACCAAAATTCCATTTGAGACGTATAGAATATCTCCAATTGCCGTGGCTTATGGTAAATATTCTGGTAAGGCTAGGTTGATTGTCGATTTAAGTGCTCCATACGATGTTCAACATCATTCCAGTATTAATTCCTTAATTGATAAGGAGCAATATTCATTATCGTATGCGACATTGGATGATACTTTAAAAATTGTTAATCGGCTTGGACCACATACATCAATGACTAAATGTGATATGGTCGATGCATTTAAACAAGTTCCGGTTAGACCGGACTTGTGAAAATTTCTCGGTATCTGTTGGCGAGGCATGTATTACTTTTATAAAGTGTTGGTTTTTGGCTGCCGATCATCGCCCAAGATTTTCGACTTGTTTTCGTCAACGATTTGTTGTATAGCGACCAATAACTACGGAATTAAAAACATACTCCATCTTTTGGACGATTTTATTGCATTTCACACTCCACGAGAGCCTGATCCAAACATGATTCTGTTGAAGTTGTTGTTTAGACGCTTAGATGTTCCACTTACCCCTACGAAAACAGTTAGCCCGTCGTGCGTGTTAGAATATCTCGGCACGATCATTGCTTCTATTGCTTTATTAGACAGATTAGAAAATATCGACAATTTGTTAACAGTAGTATAGTGTTAGGCTGATAACCCCTACTAGCTGTTTTACGAAAAAGAAAAAAAATTTGCAAAGCATAAGAAGCGAGGGAAAGTTTAATCTTGAATAAATAACATTAGTTTATCAAGATATCTGTCTTCTTGATCTAACCATCTTTTCACAGTTGCACTTTGTCTTCCTACGTTCAGATGCTTAATAAATGGAGATTGATTGTGCATTTGGAAATACATTTGCATTGATCTCGATTGTGTATATTTTTCAAATAGCTCTGGAATAACTGTGTGTGTTTTGTTTATGAAGTTGGGTAAAATTTTTTTTGCACGGTCAGTAATTGTTTTGAACTTGTGCGCGAATTTGATTTCATCGTTCGTGGCATCGTACCATCGGTTTATTACCCTGTATACTTGTCTATTTATTGCTTCTATTTTGTCTTTTGTGGAATCAGGTAACAGTGGATAAATGGAATAAAGCTGCTGGAAATATGGTAGTACATAAGCATTGAACATTAACATTCCGGTATGTTACGATGACGTTTTTGATTGTGCTACATATCCCTTTCACCGCGATGGGTCCCACCGATGGGACCCGCTCCAGTTTCAAAAGAAAATGAAAGAAAAAACAACTTTTTTTTGTTTCTTTATCATAAATTTACATATGATGTATTATCTATTCTGTCTAGGCATTGTTTGAACTATTTATTTCGTAGCATGATGTTTCTCATTAAAACAACTAAGACAATAAAATTTGTCACAATCTGAGCAGAAAGTTTTTACTTTCTTTCCTGTTGCATTACTTGCTTCTTTTGATTTCTGTTCTCTGATTTTCGCATAGCAGCCAGCACAACGTCTTCGAACATCGCGGCCAGATTCTTCCATCTGTTCGAGCTCGTGATCTGCAAGCTTGCGCTTCGTTTGGCTTGTTGAGCGTTCGCTGGGACCAGGTTTGACATTCTCGATTGGCACGCCAAGAAGTAAAGATCGCACTGAACTTTCACGAAACTGTAATATCGTCATCATATTCTTTGTAAATCAAGTAAGCATTCACTATAGACACTTCAAATATCATCTCAAATGCCACTTTGTGATACCATTTTTTTGACCGTCGAAGGCATGTATAGTATGCTGATAACTGATCAGACAAATCTATAACTTGTTTTCCTTTATTGTAATCGAGAACAACTGATGGTTTCATGATACGTTGGCTTTATTGGTTTTTCCGGTGTCTACCAACGTTGCCGAATGCGATGGTTTTGTAGATATCATCAAAACATCTCGTTTATCTTTCCACTTGATTAGTTTTTATATCATCATTACTCTGGAGCCCATAAACTTTACCACGTTTTAGCTTTTTCTGAACTATACCTTGCCCCGATCGAGCGCGATTGCTTCTCAGTGTTCCAATAAGATAAGTATCATTTTGCAATAAGCTTTCTGCGAGAGAAATACTTGTAAAGAAGTTGTCAACTACTACAGTTCGATGACATTCGAGAAGACCATCTGCCAAATCGAGTACGACAGTTTGAGCATGCCCAAGACCAGCCGTTGGATCCTGCTTGCCAGTATAAACCATAAAATTTCAGGTGTATCCATTAGTACTCGCCAGCTTATATATCTTGACTCCATATTTGTGCGCTTTTCCAGGAATATATTGTTTGAATAAAAGTCTTCCCTTCCATGGTACCATTGATTCGTCAATAGAAATAACGGAGCCAGGAACGTAAATTGACCTGAATCTAGCTCTCAATGAATCTAAAAGTGGTCTCAGCTTGAACACAGCCTGTCTTGGTCAGCATGCTCTTCTTGGTTATTCGACAAATGAAAAAATTTGAGAAGTAATTCAAATCTATCCCTTGACATCGTATTTTGAATGACTTCGGATCCAAACAACTGGCTTTTGCTCCAATAATATTCTATTTCTGGCATTCGTACTAATCCCATTTCAATAATTATGTCCAAAAATTTGAGCATTTCTTCATTAGTAGTTGGTTTCCATTGAAGAGTCTTCGATCTCTTGGTAAGCTCCTGCGTTTGTACGTGTTGTTCTGCATATCGATTGGTTTCACGAACCATGAGACTAATAATCTCATCAGTGATGAAATGTCGGTAGCAATCGATAGGATTGATCGCACTATCTTCCGAATTTGCCGGTACTTCTTCCATCATTCCATAATCCTCCGAGAATTCAATATCCGATTCTGATTCTATTTCGCTTCAGACTTGTGAATCCACATCATCATCGCCATCATCCGTAACTTGTTCTTCGGAACTTGATGATTCGAATTGCATTCTGGAAAAGCCATTATCCAAACTGCTCATATCACTCTCTGAGTCGCCACTTTCCTCTGTATCCGTTTCTTCGAATAGCATGTAAGTTGCAAATTTTGAAAAATCTAAGTTTAGTTTATTTTCATTATCTCGACTAGAATGATGTACGTATTTATATATGCATGTATGGACAAATTGGAAAAATCCCATGTATCACAGAAGAAAAGCGGATGGGAAAAAACCAACATGGTGAATTTTATTCGAAAAATCCTAGTGACTTCCCATATATCGAAAATATCAATGAGTACATTTATCGAACGTGAGCATGCATGAGAATTGATAGATTGAAGTTACTTTCCTCAAAAAACCGAATCGCGGTGAAAGGGATATGTTATCATTGGTGAATGACAATTTTTGATCAATATAATTACCAAAATATTTGAATAATTTTGTTCTTGCAATTTAATGTTGATCTATTAATAAAACAATTGATGAAATTGTAATACGTTTGTGAATCCATTGATATTCTGTTTTTATGTAGTTTATTGGTTGTTTCCGTCTGAATGAATATTTTTGCAATTCATTTAATGTCTGTTGTGCAATTTTTTGAATATTTGTTATCACCTCTATACTTTTCCACCATGGTGATGCATCAGTAACTAATCCTACATCATCTGCATACATATGGGTATGTTGTAATGATGGAATTTCTGTTGGCAGATCAGAAATGTTTGCTCTATATGACAGACGTATTTGCAAAGGATTTTTAGACTGAACTCGAGGACCTGATTTTCTGAGATTTGGGTTTTCCAGAGACCCCTATTTCAGGAGTTTTGATGGAACGTCTGTATACATCACCTAAGATCGGAAATTCTTTCAGCTGTTCAAATCTTTTTCCAAATTTATTCTAGCTATTATGAACATTCCAGACTATCTCCAAGAATATTTCCAAATTCCCAATCAATATCGATTATTCCACCCGAAATATTCAATAAATCTCGTTCACCATGTTCATCATCTTTATACAACATAAATGTTTCTGTCCTTGTAAATAATGGACGTTGAGCATATAAATAATCAGCAATGTCATTCATATTCATATTTTCACGTGGAAATAATCTTTGATGTGATTTATTTTTATCGACAAAGATCATAACACTATTTATTTGTATTGTACATAGATTGCTTAAAAAATGCTGTCCAAGTAGACAGTATTCATGTTTGCTTGTTCTTGTTATTAATGGAAAATGTTTTTCAAATTGATTGAAAAAGTTTAATGCATCTTCTAATATATCTTTATCTGGATCCACAAATGGAATATCTTTTGTTTCAACTAAAACCATAATTGCTTCTTTATCTAAAGCAAACCTAATGTATGGTAATTCAAATTGTAATGGTTTGATATCACTATGCAAACAACACTTTATTGTACGAAGCGATGGATCATTTGATACTTTGGGTTTAATACTTAATGTTGTATCTGGTAAAAATCCGACACTGTGTGCTGTTCCAATTGACCACTGATATATTTTATATGGAAAATTATTTAATAAAACATCAATATCAAACGTTTTGTTTGATGTTGTTGGTAGTGGAAATAATGATGAGTTTGAGCCACTATCAATGAAGACATATTCAATTTTAACACCACCAAAAATGTTATCACTACTTGGTATAAGATAGCGTTCACGGGAATTTTTAATGGCGAATCCCTCGATATTGTGATTTGTTAAATATGAATTTAATCTAAGTTTAGAACCTGTAGTTGCTATACCACTAATCATTGCCATTCTACACTATTGTTTTGAAAATACAATAGAATTTTTCCGAAAACAATAAAAAAAACATCATCTAAGGCTATGTTCACACTACGAGTTAAGCAGCTTAATTTTTTCGGCTTAAGGATTCTGATTGGTGTCTTAACTTTTTCTTCGTAAAGGCACCAATCAGAATCCTTAAGCCGAAAAAATGAAGAAGCTGCTTAACTCATAGTGTGAACATAGCCTAAACTAGCACCAGTGCACGTGACAGCCAATCAACCCACGAATTGTCAAGAATAGAGACATTAATGCATTTATGTACACTGTAATGCATTACAGTGTACATAAATGTATAAAAGATAACAAAATTAGAATAAACTTCATTTTTAGATTTTATTTTTCGAAATACAGAACTTTTAAAATTATAATAATCAGGGGCGGCGGAACGTTTTCAAATCAGGTAAGGCTCAGTATAAGCTTATACTGAGCCTTACCTGATTTGAAATCAAATATCAGGTTAACTCACAAACATTAAGAGTTTTTATATTTTTCTTCATATATATAAATTGAATATTAAGTGCTAAAAGTTTTTTTTTCATTCTTCGATATTATTTTATTAAGGATCAATTT